ATACGTCTTTTTTCAAAGAAATCATTTTGGCCTGTGTGCAGCTTCTGAAGGACTCTGTGTACTTACGCTGCCTTTAAGATATTTCTTAAAAAAGGGAGTTGACATATAGGGCCACAGACTGTGAACTCTATTATTGCCAGCGTAAAGGCAGAAATAACCATTAGAACCTCATATATCTATAGGAGATCAAAAGGTTGATCTTTAATCAAAAGGCGAATCCATATGAACACTGTATTTTTCCCTCCTTTTGTTTTAAATGCACTGACTTTATTTAATGCTCTGTCAGTTGTCCCTAGAAATCCCCTATGGTGACCATTCTGGAAACGGCAGGTCAAGGGAAGACAAACAGGTCATCGGCTGACTGTGGGAGAGTTATTCTCCAAAGTGGAACAATTGTCAAAGGGTGGAATGGCCAGCTCGTGCCTTGTGTTAGTGATGGCTGCTCTATTTCAGTTGTTAGGGTGCATATTTTGAGATTAGTCTTTTAGACTTATTAATTAGACTCACACAGGGGAACTTGTAATCACTTAATTACCAACGTGCTTATTGTATAATGATGTCAAAAATTGTTTCATCATTTGTCGTTCATTTTTTGTTGAGGTTTCTCTGTGACTGTATTACAAATGAAATACTCTTGCAGAATGCAGTATTTCTTCTGTGATTGGTGTCTATTGTTTTGCAAAAGGCATAAATAAAAGAACAAGCTCTCAAGTGATTCCCGTAGAGAAAGAACTGAGAATGGAGGACAGAATGAAGATGGGGGGGGGGGGGTCCCAGGGGAGGAAAAGAGATAGCGTAAGATGGGGTAGGGATGATTAGGACACCGGCTGCAACAGCACAGAAAAGGGTCAGAGAGGGAAGGATGGGGAGCCAGTGAGGAGAGACACAGGTAGATTGAGAAGTATGTGTGTAGAATCACGTAGACAGGTACAGAATAGGGACAATAGAGATGGAGAGAGGGAGCGTGCGGCAGACGAGAGAGCGCGTGCACGTGTGCGCAGTACTAGGGGGATTGGTCCTTTTTCTGATGACATCCAAACATTTCTTATTCTGATGATCCTTTTTCCTGTTTCCTTCTTTCTGGTGTTAAAGTTCTGTGACTTGTCTACGTTTCCATATGTGCAGACTGTTGAGGAATCTGGTTCTTGGAATGGTGAAATTGGAGAGCCAGGATAACTAATTAGGAGCACCGCCTCTGGAGCCACTGGTTTGAATAGCAGTTTGCCACCGACTTACTGAGTGACCTGCACGAGTTACTCTACGTACCTCAGTTTCTGCATCTTAAAATGGGGATAATAGTAGTGTTTCCCTCATGGGGTGCTGTGCAGATTAAATGAGATAAGGTATGCAAGCCTATTAGACCAGTGTATCCAACAGGTATTGGCTATTATTACTGCTATACTTGTAAAAGGATTGTGGATTCCTTTGAAGGAATGTTTGCAGAGCTAAATAAATTTTTATGAATACTGAAAAGGCTACAAGCTTCTGTCTGAGGCTTTTGGTCTCAAACCTTGTTGCTAATCTAAGGTGAGAGTGAAGAGATGATAGGTTGGGAGTGAGGAGTTGCAGCTTTTAGTTCCAGCTGTGCCATGAACTAGCTGTGAGATGATGAGTTTCTCTGGACCTGCTCTCACATTATAAACTCAGGGGTTTAAACACCCTCTCTTTGACCATAATTGGGACGTTTCTGGATGCGACTTTTATGATTTGGCTAATATTTTACCTTTATGCAGAGGTTTTGTGGACTTAGAGTCTTGAAAAGATCAGGGATTGATCATATAGGTGCCCCGGAACAGACGAATGTGCGTCTCAGTAATAGAGGGAGAAATAGTGAGAACCCTGGCTTCCTGTGGCTGTGCTTGTGAGCATGGCTGTCAGCATTATCATCTTCTTTTCTGTTCCACTGTGGGGGAGGATCAGTATTTGAAAAAGGGGTCATATCCTGGGACTGAACTGAGATTGGAGACTCTAGGTGTGCTGTGGAGCTTGGTTCAGGGAAGGCGAGTATTTCATCCTTTGACGTGAGTTCTGATCTCATAACCTGCTCCCCACACCTAGGCAAATGGCAATGCAGGCTAAGCCTGTCTCTGGTGCCCTTTGATCTTCCTTTCCAAATTCCTCTTTCTTACTGTCATACCTCTTCTGTCTGACGTTTATTACTGAACCTTGCAACAAAATTGCCTCTCGCCCTTTCCTAAAAGGCCTCCAAACTCTTAATTCCCTGAGTACTGCTGTGTTAGGCAAGGATTGACTAGTGCAGATGATGGAAGAGTTTAACTCTTCAGGGCATACTTGGGATTTAAAAAGAGAATTTTTAAAAAATTGTTGGAATGTTAAGAAATGTATTCCTTGGAGCTGGGAGCTTTATGGATCTCTCCCGGTCACAGGCTGCCCCCTCCTATTGCTTCCTACCCCCCACCCTAACTGACCTGCCAGGGGCTAAAGCACAAGGAGGCAGGATTGGGTAGTAACGTGTAAATACATCCTGGTGATTAAGAACATAGGTTTTGGTGTGAATTCTATTTCTGTCCTAATTGTGACCTTGAAGTGAATTACATCACTGGGTGTTGGCTTGCTCATCTGTAAAATGGGAGTAACAATGACAACGAATATGTTGTTGAGAGGATTAAATGAGTCAGTGTATTTATTGAAAGCTGTTCTCCATTCATGGCACTTGGGGAATACTTGATAAACAGTAGTTGCTACTCAGGGACAGCTTCATGGCATGCAAGCTGTACCATTGCACAGGACACCATGCTCAGAAGTACCTTGCACTTGGTTAATGCCTTGTTGTCACCATCTTGAAATTCTTAATAATTTTTGACAATGACCTTGCAAATTATGTAGCCAGTCCTGCTATTACTGGCTATACTTGACCTCCACTCACTCATCTGGCCATACTTTGTACACTTCCCTCTCCTTTCTGCTGCCTTTTGCTTTGTCCCATTCCCTTGCCCCCAAGGCCTTAGTTTAAAACAGCAACAACAACAACAAACAAACAAACAAGATTCCATAGGGAAAAGCTGTGATTTGGTTCATAGCATATGGAATATTCAAACATAGATATCATATCATCTGTTGTCTATACTTTTAGAAGTCATTTATTAACCGGTTTACAGAGCATGCCAACTCTAAAATCAAGCAGCGACAATGACACCAGGTAAAAATTGATCCTGTGCATAACTGTGACGGTGACATTTGAGTGGAAGGTCTTGAAATGGGCCGTGCCTCTTTCTTCTGCCCTCCTCAGACTCTCCCTGCCAGTGTTGGGTTACTTCTCTTAGTCATCTGTCTCATAAATAGTCCTAGCTTGAGTTATCCCCTACAGTGGTGACCTACGATTATTTGAAGAAGGGTTTTATAGAAAATACACTGTTTCTGTTTGGGATTGGGAGCCTGCAGAGAGGCACACGGCAGGCCAAAGAGGCATAGTCATTGATTCACCACCTGTGCTCGGATTCACAGTTTGGCCTATGGGTCGAGTGTGGGTAAAGCTGTGCTTACTTACCTCGGATAAGTCCTTTAACAACGTGGGGACCCAGTGTTCTTGACTTATCATTTCTAAAGTTTTGTTCAAATCTAGCATTCTTAGACTAGCACAAAAGCATCACTTGCTAAATAATGGATTTAGTGACAAGGAAGTTCTTTGGAAAATGAAAAAAGGCAATTCTCCCATCAGGACTTGAGCCGCTTTGGAGTCTTTCTTGATCTCAAAGGTTCACAAGGCCTGCCTGAACCTCTGAGTTGCAGAATGGATGTTTAGACAGTGAGGGTTGTGGATGTGGGATCCTTGCTCAAAATGTGAACTCCTAGTTCAGCCCTTTTGCATTCATGAAGGTCTCTGCTGGGCAAGAGGGGCTTACAGGCATAGGGGCCTATGGGCTATATATATGTTCTTAGCTGAGTATCAGAAAGGAAACTTCCATAAATGTTCTGAGATGGAGAGAGGCACAACTGAGAAGCAAAGTTGGGGATGATTTTTTGGAAGCTTAACCTGATTTTGTAGCCTGTGCATTGCATAAAAGTTACCAGCTAGAGTACAGAGAATGGAAAGCAAAAGGGCAAATGTGGTTAGTGGTTGTAACCTAGGGATTGTGAATGAGTACTTGGCCTTTTCATTAAGTTTCCTGTTGATATAGTAGGGCTTGTGACTGTTTATAAGATATCTGTATTTTAATATCACAGAGACCCATCTTGCTTACTCAACCAAAATCTATTGCTCCTTTGGACTGTGGACTGAATTGTCATCTTGACATTTTCAAGACTTGTTCAATATGGACCTTGATACAGGGACTCTTAAATTGAAAAGAATTTTATAGGGCTGAGAAGCTGTCGTGGGTCACTTAGTGATTCTTACTTAACAGGAGCCAAGCCATGTAGCCTTATTTTTCTTTTTTTTTTTGAGACAGAGTCTCACTCTGTTGCCCAGGCTAGGGTGCCGTGGCGTCATCCTAGCTCACAGCAACCTCAAGCTCCTGGGCTCAAGCGATCCTTCTGCCTCAGCCTCCCGAGTAGCTGGGACTACAGGCATAGACCACCATGCCTGGCTAATTTTTTCTATATATTTTTTTTTTTGAGACAGAGTCTCACTGTGTTGCCCGGGCTAGAGTGCCGTGGCGTCATCTTAGCTCAACAGCAACCTCAAGCTTCTGGGCTCAAGTGATCTTCCTGCTTCAGCCTCCCGAGTAGCTGGACTACAGGCGTGCGCCACCATGCCCAGCTAATTTTTTCTATATATTTTTAGTTGTCCGATTAATTTCTTTCTATTTTTAGTAGAGACGGGGTCTCGCTCTTGCTCAGGCTGGTTTCGAACTCCTGAGCTCAAACAATCGGCCCGCCTCGGCCTCCCAGAGTGCTAGGATTACAGGCACGAGCCACCGCGCCCGGCCTCCATGTAGTCTTTTGAGGCTTCAGTGTCACTAAAGTCTGGTGGATAACACCAAAGCCCACCAGACCCACTCGTTGGTACTTGTATTGATGCTGCTGCTCCTGTCTTGCAGGTGCTTACATCATGCCGAGCCTTCCTTGTGACAGCGCGAATCCCCACCAAGGTAAGCATTGGTGTGCTTCTGCCTTCCTCTCTCTCTGTCTCTCTGTCTCTCTCTCTCTCTGTCTCTCTCTCTCTGTCTCTCTCTCTCTCTCTGTCTCTCTCTCTCTGTCTCTCTCTCTCTCTCTGTCTCTCTCTCTCTCTCTCTCGCACGCACACACACACACACACTGCACATTCCTATGCACACAAATATGCATGCATTGTCTCATGTGCACACGCACGCTTACCTCTACTGCAACACAACACACACTCACACCTCACTTACATAGTTATGATTTAGCCTAATGTGTTCAGACTTCTCTTAGTACACTCTATGTTTTCCTTCTTTCTCTCTAGACAGCACCTAATGTTTGTGATGACAGACATTTTTTACTTTTTTTCCCCTCTCATTGTATAAAGACATCCCAAGAAAAGTGGTGAAGCATTTTGTGCTCTTATGTCCCCGAGGCTCCATGTCCCAGTTGTTTTTCCTCCACATTTGGGGCTTAGTTTCCACTTTCTTTAAGTCTACTTCATCCTTCCTTCAGTCCAATACTGGCAGGTTTTTCTAAGGCTGTAGATATGTGGGAAATAACCTTCATCATTTTAAAGGTTACACTACCTGTAGTGTAACCACCTTAGCTGTTCTCCATGTACTCTGGTATTGCTTGTAAAAAATAACATGGCACCATTCTGTTCTTTAAAAGATCTTTATCACATTTTTTATGAGATACCCTTTATTGCATGGTGCAAATTAAAAATCAAACTAGTAGCTAATGAATTAGGCACAGTAATGGCTTCTTTTGTTTATGGTAATTAAATCATTTTATAGGAAGAGGACTGAATGGTAACAGGAAATTCAGATTTTTTCCTTCTAAAAAGATGATGATAACTAAAATTTATTAAGTGCTGTTTAAGTAAATAATTTAATCTTTAAAAGAATTTCAAGAGAACCATAGGTTGTATTATTATCCCCATTTTATAGACAGGAAAATCGAGGCACAGGGAGGTTTAGTAACTTGCCCAAGGTCAAACATGTAGGTGATAAGTGATTCTAATCTAAGGAATCTGGCTGCAAACCCTCTGCTTAACTACACTCTTATTATTAGAATTTAATGAGTTATGTACTGACTGTATTTTTTTTTTTTTTTGGAGACAGGGTCTTACTCTGTCACCCAGTCTGGGGTATAGTAGCACAATCACAGCTCACTGCAGCCTTGAACTGTTTGTAATGAAAGATATTTCACATAAAATGAAATATGAGTATAAAAAGAGAGTGTCTATGAAATAATGAATGTTGCTAAAAGTGAATTTCTTAAAAATGTGGCTGTCTTAAGGACCAGACAACTGTTACAGTTTGGAGGGGGAATGGAGGGTATGAGCATAGTAATCTAGAAAACTTCTACCCTCCGGTTGCTTTACAAGTGTCTTCCAGTTCTCTCTCCATTTTTAAAGGGACTCGGACTGGTAGCTGGAAGCCCTGCGTGTGGGTGTGGCTCACAAGAAAAGGCCACTGAGTGCCAGCAAGTGTGTTTAACTCAAAGAAAAACTTTGGCACTATGTTAAAGCATGGCAAATGAAATTACCTTTAAAAATTAGAACCACAAAGGTAAACAGGTATACTTTCTAGAAAATAATTCCCTGCTTTAAATGTCTTTTGAAAACCAAACCATGTAGAATCTTGATAATGACAGGTAAGAAAGCTTCCAGTTTAATTGAATGTTTTTAAGCATGTGCCTTCAACACTGCGTTTAACTCCTGCAGGACAAAATACACCTCTCATTCCTCTTTCTAGTTCCAGTGCTGACACATAGTAGGCTTGCCATAAATGCCTGTTGGTTGACTAAGTGAATAGTGAAGGCATGAGTTCTCTTTGTACCCCCAGCCCTCATCACCATACTTCCAGATGTTTAACTGGAGATTCAGGGGTGATCTGTGCTGTGATTTATCCTACCAATGTATCACGATACAAATGCCACCAAAGAGCAGAACTAAATCCCTTGTTTGGAAAGAAGGGAAGAGCAACAATGACTTTATCCTGATGTGAGTTTCTGAAGCAAAATTTTGAAGTGAAAAAGGGAAAAAAGTATATTTAGAGGGTTCCTTTCATACATTCATTTCTCAATGAATAAATAGTGGAGAAGTGCAAAAACTTGCCTTGGATTTGTCCCTGGATGAAATTCAGAAAGTCGCGCATGCAACTTGCTTTCAATCCCTTAGTAAAGTGAATAATACTTTTTCCGAAATATGATAAATTATGGTTCAATCTCATTGAATGAACAGAGATATTAAACCAGCCTGCCTTCACAGGATACCCAGTATCTTATTTGCTCTTGGGCTGTTTCTAATTATAGCGTTTTTACCTTGAATTACATGTTTTAAAACCCTCATTACAAGTCTGTCTTTCCCCTTTTCCCCTCTTTGCAGCTTGAGTTAACCTTCAGCTATTTGGAGATTCACGGAGTCATCTGCTGCAAGCCAGCTCAGGTGAGTGTGAGCGATAGAGAGCTGTCACTGCAAGGTCATGGTCTTTCTTGAGTTCCTGAACCCATAGAAAGTTTCCTGTTTTGGTTTCACTATTGCAAGTTTCTTGAGACAATGTGAGTAAACAAGATTAGGGAAGATGGAGTTTTCAGAATGAGAGATTCAACAGTAGCTTTGTGTGCAGGGGTTGGAAATTTGTTCTGATAAGGAAAACACATTCTCCATAACTCAGTTTGAGAAGAACTAATTAGCTTTTACAGTAGCTGGCAATGTAAACGTGAGAGTACTGTTCCTTAGAGAGTTTGTACAACAAGCTTTAACGCTAAACTTTCGTAGCTGTCATACAGTGCTATATAAGGTCTTTCTGGGTATATGGTGATAAATGAGTTTTCTGTTATTAAGAAAATATAGATTTTACAAAACAGCTTTATTAAACTGTAAGTAACTGCAGTTAACTAAAATATACATGTGTCGACACATGTATACCATGAAACCTTACCACAATCAAGATACTGAATACACTCGTCATCTTGCCATGTCCTCGTACACCCCAGTAAACACTTTCTCCTGCCCTCTTCCCCATCTGCAGTCAGCCTGCAGATATCTGCTTTCTGTTGCTATAGAGTAGTTTGCATTTTTCAAAATTTTATATG